TAAAACTAGAGTTAACGACTGTTCCCACCCAAAAAATGACCAATTGACAATTCATACCCACCCATTTTTTAAAAACCCTTTTACTACCCAAATATTATGTTTTGGGTGGAAAATACAATGATTTATGAAAATATCCTTAACCTCTTCCATTGTTGGCTGGGAGTTGGGTGCTGCAATTAATCGAGCAGTTGGTGTGCGACCTTGGGGCAGCGAGGTTGGCGTGATTTGGGAGAGAACGGTGGCCGGAAAATACATAACACCAATAACCAATCAAAAGCCACTAATCCAACACCAAAAACACTAACGATTTGTAGAGGAAACCACTGCAAATCGCGATTGTCTCATGGTGGAAAGAGCTGGACATAGGCGGTAAATGGCGTGCATAGAGGGTTGGGGGAGGGGTGGGTTTTGAACAGCAGAGGTAGGGAGTCGAATGGTGGTGGTAGGGGGCATTTTGGGTAACTAAATTAGCCGAAAAAAGCGGGAAAGATGGCAAATTGAGCAAAAACTTAGGCGGCGATTTCAAGCGATTGGCAGGTGCATTGAGCTCAAGGTGAACGAATTAAGGGTGAGAGAGGCTCGAGGAACAGGATGGAGGAGGCGGTGAGTTTCAGGGTGGATTTCTGACACCGGAAACGATAGAAAATCCAGTTGCCGTGTGAATGGAGGTGGTGGTGGAAAATGCTGAGTGATGACAACAAATGGAGGCTTAGGCTTTGTAGAGGAAGTGATGGGGATTATGTGGGTGATTTTGGAAGTGATTTTGGATGCCGAGATCTGCCAGAAAACTAAAAAAAAATCTTCGGCCATCTACTTGCTAAAGTGCGCCATTTCCTTGCTAATGTGCGCTTACCTTTTTATTTTCTCTTCTTCGTCTACCAAATGTTTGTTGACCATTCTACCCTTATTAATAACGAATTTTTGACAATTTTACCCTTTCCACAACAAAAATGACTAACCTTTGGGTACTAAAAATGTATTTAAAAAGTGGGTAGGTATGAATTTGTCAATGAGATATTTTTTGGGTGGGAACAGTTGTTTACTCTTAAGACTATTCCCTTTAATTGATAAATAAGTATATTTCCATTTCAAATATTATTTATGGGGATTAGTACTTTAAACCCCTCGAGATTTGGCTAAGATGTAAGAGAATTGTTATCCTTACAAAGACCTATACAAAAAGGGTATACAAAGACAATTGCTATCTTTGATCTTCATGATTTCTCTCTCTCTCTCTCTCTTTCAATTCTTTCTTTGTTTTTTCTTTTTGCCCACGTCACTTTGTAGCCTTCTTTGTCTTTGTAACAGTAACATTTTTCAAAAGAGTAAACGACATGTTCCCACCCAAGGTTTGACGAAATCCCAAGTTAGTACCACTGGTTTCATTTATTCCAGATTCCCACCCTTAAAGTGACGGAAAAACGTTTGATGTAACGGTAAAGGGATAAATTGGTCATTTTACATGGGCGGCGCACGTTAGTAGACCACCGCCTCTAACAGTCCTCCGGTGCACTTTAGCAGCCGCCGTTCCCGACGTTTTTCGCTCTTTTCTGGCGATTCTTCCACCCAAAATCACCCTAGTCACCACCATTTGAACCCCAATCCTCCCCTCTACAAAACCATACCATTCACAACCCCTCATCACTCGCCGATCTCCGGCCACGGCAACGAAAAATGGTCGATGAACACGAACTCTAGGCCGGCGAATGACGACGAAACGGTTGCTCGGGACATAGGGGTTTTATAGATTTGGGGACGGTGGTTGCATTGGTGGTGTCCAATTGGATTTTCACCGCCGGAATCGACTGAAATGCAGTGAAGAACACCGAAACCCTAAGCCTAACGGTGCCGGCGATTGAAGGGGCAAATGAGTCGGGAACCAGAGGGGTTTTGGACGACGGACTACGGGGAAGGTGATGGAGGTGACCAGGGGGTTCGACGTCGTCGGAAACAGCCCAGATCGGGCTGTTTCCGGTGAGGGTGTATAGTGACCGAGGGTGTTTTTGATATAATTTGAAAATAAAATGGTAAGTTTTGTAATTCTACTATTTTAGGGGTTAAAAATAATTTTAATTAATTTAGGGTTAAGGGCATTATGGTAATTGTACCCTCTAAACCCTAAAAATTCATAATACTGTTACTTTAAGGGTGAAAATCTAGAATAAATGAAACTAATGGTACTAACTTGGGATTTCATCAAACCTTGGATGGGAATATGTCGTTTACTCTTTTCAAAATATAAACCCCTGTTATACTAAATATTACTCTCAACTTCTCTGTGGTACTGATAATGCTTGATAATGGTTGTCAACCCTCTGTCATCAACCTCTGCCGTCAGTGTCTTTAGTCGGCCCCAATTACAATTTTTGTTTTCCTTACAGTTTTATCTTTTATGAAAATTACTAAATAAGACTCAAACGTATATATACACAATCAATATAGAGTAAATCTTTTAATATTAATTTAATTTAAATTGTCAATATGCACAGCTACTTATATGCTTGATTAATATTTAAATGATCTGCCGTCAGTGTCTTTAGTCGACCCCATTTTTTCCTTACAATTTATCCTTTATGAAAATTACTAAATAGGACTCAAACCCACTTATACACAATCAATATAGAGTAAATCTTTTACTATTAATTTAATTTAAATTGTCAATATGCACAGCTGCTTATATGTTTGATTAATATTTAAATGAAGAAATATATATATAAAACATGGATTGAGAAAGTATTAACATAATAGTAAAAATATAAATGTAAGCCGTTTTTGGTTTCGGGAATGTTTTATTATTAAAAAAATAAGATTACTAGTGAGATAGATTACCTACAAAATTACTGGGAATTTTATGTTATATACATTTGGTTATATACACAGTTGTCAAAACGGTGTATGACCAGCCAGATATGGCCATAAACGACCAGATCCATAGATGTAGCCGGAAACGGCCATAATGGATCTATTTCTAACCGGATCCATGGCCATTTGGTCATTTACGATCAAATCGACGCACGATCGGCCAGTTCTAGTCGGTCATGTGTCATTCTGACGATTATCCACGACGATTGGCGATGGTGCTGGCGATCGACAATCATCTTGGGTGGCTGGGGCGTTATGTAAATAGTTTTCAGATCAAAGGTTATTCTCCAAAATAATTATTTCTTAGGAGTAAAATTATGACAAAATTAAGATTAATTTTATGTAAAATGAGGGGCATTTCTGTCAAAATTTTTTATTTATGAGGTTATAGAAGTTATTTCGCATAGTTTGGCTAATTGTTATTTGGTAGATATTTGAGGCAAATGTATTTGAAATGGTATTTAATTGAGGGCAAAATAGATATAAAATTCACCAACAGTAATATTTTAATAACACCCCCTGCGTTGATAATCTAGTTACTCTCTATTTTATTAACAGTAAACACTATTTATATTGAAAGATTACTAGAATATTTTATTACTTGACAATCAAACAGGGGAATCTTGAAAATTAATGAAAGATCAGTGGAGTAATCTTCCTAGACCCCTAACCAAACACAATGTAAGGGTTATTTTGTAAATGGAGGGTTTTTATTTTGACATTTAGATCTGCTTAAAAATTTTAGTGGGGTAAATTTAGAGATGGGGTTTATTAAGATAAATTATGGAGGACCAATAGCATCACTCTACTTTTAATCATAGAAAGGGTAAATGACCTCAATGCCCTCACCTGCTTTGCCCATCAATCGCAGCCCACCCCCTTACTTTTACTTCATGTTCAGTAGCCTGCAATACCCATGTTAGGCTTAAAAATTATTAAATTATATAAAATATCACAGATTTTAATAAGAAAATAAAAAATCTAAAAAATGTCCGAAAATGGAAAAAGAATTTGGAAAAATGAAAAGAATAAGAAATATATGGAAAAGGTAAACAATAAATTGAAAAACTTACTTTCTAAAAAGTTAAAAATCGATACATAATCAATATAGGTTGGATTTTGGTTGTTAGGATTGGTCGAAATTTGACTTGGAAGAGACGGTTGTGTAAACCCTAGTCGCTTGATTGGTAGTGTCGGCAGGGGTACAGTTTGAAGGGTTTTAGTGACTGATGATTGGGGAAGAGAATGGTGGTGGTATGGGGCTGCAGAAATGTAGGAATTAGAAACGGAATAAAATAGTATTTTAAAAGTCTGTGAGCGGAAAAGTGTTATTAAACCATTATTTGGGTGGAAAAAGGTTGTTTACTCATTTCAAATTAAAAAGGGAAACTAAAATTTATGGCTGCAGATTGAGCCAAAAACATTTATGATAACAAACACATAAAGTAGCCAAGTACTGGACACAATGGATAGAAAATTTTACCTTTCAATAAAGTTTTATGCTTTTATCAATCAAATGAAATGGTATATGCATATGTAATCGTATATGGAACTTGTCTTCCTTATTTTTTAGGTATAAATTGCTCATAAATTTTTTTATCATTTCATCACATTAAACGGATGAATTGAAATTATAAATTATTTACTTCTTTGTCCACCTAGTCATATTCTATTTTTTTTTTTGGTATGTGGTTAAAACTCATAGATTCTTCAATAAAACTAGTTTATATATTCTTCAATGTAGTTGTCCATCCAATTGAAATAGATTTTCATGTAGAATGTTTGTCTGCCTTGTTAAGACTTGATGATTTAGACGTTCACACAAAAGTTTTTTCAGGCAATTTGAGTATCTAGGATTCTTGAATGTGTGAGGAAACAAGATGAAAAAATCATTATACATTAATTGAGGGTTTTTTGGGTGGGTTTTTCGGGTCCGGTCCCAAGTCCCCACCTCTGGGGACAAATAACAAGACTGAAAGTTATAGAGTAATAAGATTATTTTAGCATAAAGATAGTCTTATAAGATAAAGCCCATATTAGTACTAGGATATTTATTAGGCCTTATTTTATATGGGCATGGGTCCATGGGCCTCTCCTAGCCCGGGCGGGCTCTGTTTCAATCTACATATGGAGGAAGAATAGAATAGTCACAGTGACACTGATCGATCTCGAAAATGTCTTCACATAATTCAGCCTCTGCGAACGATCCACGTCAGCCATCGACGGCGAAGCCCTTTGTGGCAACTCCAGTGGCTCCTCAAGAATTGCCCATCGATTACGCTGGTTTCATCGCCGTCGTTTTCGGGATTGTCGGCGTCATGTTCAGGGTTCGTTTACAAATCAAATCTCTATTTAGTTAATTACTCAACTCACTCAATTTTACTTCCCTTTGAATCAGCTCTTAAATTCTTTCCTTTTTTTTTTTTTTTTTAATTTATTGTGATCGATTTTGTTATTTTTTTATTACCAATTGGATCAAAATAACTGTTGTGTGTATTTGTTGCAGTACAAGATATGCTCTTGGCTCGCAATCATATTCTGTGCGCAGTCACTGTCGAATATGAGGAACATCGAGACTGATCTTAAGCAAATTTCCATGGCTATGATGTGAGTCTTGTTTAAGTTTTTATTGTGTTTTTGAACGTGTAATTAATGTAACCCGTGGTGTTCTATAAATTTCGTTGTTGTTTAAACAGTATTTATCATAGTGAGGAATACATGAAATTTTGATGGGATCCATATAGGAATCAAATGGGTTTTGTGTAGGATTCGTATTAATGGTCTATTGAGATTGCTTAGTATTACTGAAAGGGATTTTGTCCTGGATTTTGTGGTGTTTGAAACTTTGCAATGGATGGCGTTTACAATTTCTTTTCAATGGTTGTTGATCTAATTTGTTTAATTCTGCTTGTCACCAAAAGTGTTGCCTTGCATCTTTTCACTAACAACTAAATTTGTGCTTGCACTTCAGCCGATTTGAGTATTATCCATTTTGATTTCCATTCTCTTTTCATGCTTAGATTTAGGCCTGGTTTACTATGTCTAAGTTGATGATGACATTTCAAAGCACGGTTAATTATTAGTGCATTGTTTATCATTTTTATTTTGAATTGCATATTTTTGTTATCTAATAGTGGGTTGAACAAAACGTTAGATTTGGGCAATACATATTTAATGGATTCAATTTGTTCTTTGTCCTATGATTGAGCATTTCTGCTGCTTTATCTTGGGGTATTTTCTGTTCAGGTTCTATCTTCCCAACATTACTTTCTATTTTGTCTTATGAGTTGATCCTTTTACCGTGTGAAATGGTTTTGTAGCGAGTGCTCTTGATTTATCTGTTCATTTATGATTTCCGTTCTACAACCATAAATTGATTGGGGATATCTGTAATATATTTTAACTAGTCATGGTAGTCCTGAGCATGATGACTTGCAAAGATGCCTCGAAAGAATTGTACTTTAAATGTATCTCTCTCCTCGTCCTAGTACTCGCAGAATGTGTCTTATGTACAATATCATTTGGTTCAGTAATTTATTTGATCATCTATTATTTTCACTATGATGATTCTAACTTCTGTGGAGAAAAAACCAGGTTTGCGATCATGGGCTTGGTGACAAACTACTTAGGGCCTGCTCGACCGGGCACAAAGGGTTGAGATACCTAGAATGGAGTCAAGATGAACTATGACAGTGTACCACATTTTTTTTTTCAGGCGCTTGATGTTGACATTAGGTTCACATTTTGTAGTTTTTGGGTTGGGGGCGGGAAGTGAGCTGTTAATGAAATTTGCTGTATTGAATATGAAAAGATACCAAAATCCACTGAACTTCTACTGTTTTATTTGCAATTTATCCATGTTTTATGGTTACCTCCAGTTTGTTTTCAGTTTAATTCTTTCAAAATAATATGTCAGTGCTTAAGTTTGATCTCAATCCACTCTTTAGCAATGGGCGCTTGAACCCTGATTAGCAAATGCATTAATGCTCGTTGTGCAGGTGATGGAAATTTGATATAATTGCTGATGGCATCGCCATTAGTTTTAACAAGGTGGCGAAGTAAATTATAAGTTGTCCAAGAATAATTAGATGGTGCGTCACGAATACTTAATGACAACACCTATGACGCCCATCTCTTTTATCATGTTGTGAAGTGCAAAAGAATTAGAAGATGTATTAGAATTCCTTTGAAATAAAATGAGGTAGAAATGAACCGAAGATAAACGGCATTGCAGCTGCTGTTGCGCGAGCAATGAAGGTTTAAGTGCATGAGTTTTGAATGACTAAAATGTCTGGTCTCACAGATTAACAAGAAAGAAAACTGATTCATTAAATTATAATACATTCCTAAAAAGATGGCAGTGCTTGATGAATGAAACATGAAATAAGGTCATTGAATACAGTTTCAGAAATATGAACAAAAAAGAAAAAGCATTCCCTCAAGTAATGATGTGTCTGCTTATTTAATAGTTAATCAATCCAGTAATACACTGGCACAAGCAGTTCACAGAACTTGGAACCAAGGACCAATCTCAGCAACAATAGACTTCTTTTGGAACAGTAAGGGAGAGGAGAGATTAGAGAAAAAAGATGGAAACCACATGCTCTGATCCTCACCGGTCAAATGAAGCTATAGGTCATGTGCTTCTTGTTTCACACCCAGCTCAAGGACATGTTAAGCCATTTATGAAACTAGCTTATCGCCTTGCTGATTGTCGAGTCAAGGTTACATTTGTGACTACAGAGTTCATATATGCAAGAATAATGAAGTCCATGAAACCAACATTTGTTGCAGGCATGGGCGCATTGCTAGAGATGGGTGAAGAGCAGCAGCTAGTGAGAATAGTCCCTTTTGCTGATGGGCTAGAACCGGATGATGACCGAAGAGACGAGGCTAAGTTGAATCAGAGTATCTATAAAGTCATGCCTGGTTATCTGGAGGACTTGATAAAGAAGGTCAATCAACAGGAGGGCAATGAGAAGGTCGCTTGTGTCGTTGCTGATGTAACTTGCGGATGGGCTCTGGAGATTGCCGCGAAGTTGGGACTAAAGGGAGCAGTTTTCTTTACAGCATCACCCGGAATCCTGCCCATGACACTTCAACTTCCGAAACTTTTGGAATCTGGCATTATCAACACTGATGGTATGCGTTCAAAAATTTGTCATAACACATCTCACGTTGTTTTCTCTTTATTTATGACTTAGCATAATTGAACTAGTGAAGGATTGCAATGAGAGCTATTACTTACTGAACTTCTGTCAACAGCAATAAGATGTTTCTTTCTGAATGTAAATAAGCTGCAAAAGTGCAATCTCTTTGGAAGAGTATTCAAACAATGCTGAAAATGACCCGTTGAAGTTAAAATTGCATATATTTTGATGAAATCTGTAGGTACTCCAAGAAGGGATGAGAAGGTTGAGCTGTCACCAAATTTACCTCCTTTGAGCCCTGCCGAACTCTTCTGGCTTTGTCCCGGAAACCCGTCTTTACAAAAGGGGATTTTTGCATTTGTACCTGCTATTTACCAAATCTTGACATCTTGCAACTTCTTGCTGTGCAACTGGTTTCATGAGCTTGAACCCTCAGTCACTGATTTACTCCCAAATATTTCAACAGTCGGTCCCATTCTGGCGAACGGGCGACCTAGCGGAAACTTTTGGTCAGAGGACTTAACTTGCTTAAGCTGGTTAGACAGACAACCTCCTAAATCAGTCATTTATGCAGCCTTCGGAAGCTCATCGATGTTCAGCAAGCAGCAGCTCAGCGAACTAGCGCTAGGCCTTGAACTTATCGGTAGACCGTTTTTGTGGGTTGCCAGGCAAGACCTTACCAATGGCAACTCTGCCGAGTACCCAGAAGGGTTTCCAGAGAGAGTAACGAATCTCGGAAAGATTGTTGAATGGGCGCCGCAAGAAAAGGTATTGGCTCATCCTGCGGTAGCCTGTTACTTGACGCATTGCGGATGGAACTCGACAATGGAAGGACTAAGCATGGGGGTACCCTTGTTATGTTGGCCTTATTTTGGTGATCAGTTTTACAACAAAACTTGCATATGTGAAGGTTGGAAAATTGGTTTATGGTTAAAGGGTGATGAAAACGGGATTGTGAGTAGGCATGAGATGAAGAGGAAGGTGGATGAATTGCTTTCCAGTGTTGTTATTAGAGAAAATGTGTTGAAAATGAAGGAATTGGCTGAAAAGAGTGGCAAACCAGGAGGATCTTCTTCAAAAAGTTTGGAAGAGTTTATCAAACAGATTGTGTAAGGGAAGAAGGTGAATTTTGGCATCGATGTTAGATCTTTAAGCTTTAATAAGAACGCAACTAAAGTTGCCTTGGTAAAACGCTAAAATACTATAAGAAAGTAAATAATGGAAAAAAAAATTATTTTTATGTTTAGTGCATTTTCAATCTTATAGTTATTTGTCAAACTATTGCAATTCAAATTATTAACTTAAAATGGGATACAAACTAACCACCCTTTATCTAAATCTAATTTAAATGGAGACACAAACTAACCTCCTTTTATCTTAATATGATCTAATGGTTTATATAAATCGAAGAAAAAAATGTTCGGCTATTGTGGCTCGTTTTCCTATTTGTTCCCATGGAAAATTGTATGTTCTTTAAGAAAACTCTTTAATAAAGAATACAATTCTAAATAAGAATAAAATTATGAGAGTTCTATTAAGAATTAAAATATGAATCTTATTGAAATATAATATCTTATATACTACTTATAAATATAGGGGTGAGAATCAATTTAAAGTTATGAGAGAATGAGAGAATGTGAGAACACAGAGTATTTGATGTAACGGTTATTAAACACCATAGGGAGAGTGTCTAAGAAACTAAGATCATTTCCATACTAGGTTGAGCATGGTTAGAAACTAGTATTGTTTCCACTTTGTTTTATGTACTAGGTTTATGGTATTGTGTACTCTTGAATATTGTGTTCATGAAACTATGGTGAATTTCTCTCATCTGTGGATGTAGGCGGGTTATGTTGAGCCACGTAAATATCGTGTCTTTTTGTATGGTGTGATTTTATTCCTATGCTATTTATCTCGAATGTATGTTTTCTGCTGCGTGATTTTCTAACAAAAAAGAGTCGCTTAATAATCCCAAGGGGTTGTCTTGGAGTTCTTGGGTGTGAATTTTTGGGCCACCTACCATGTTAGAGTCTCACACCGACTAGGCACGCTTAAGTATTTTGGTTTATAAGAAGGGGTAATCCTCCAATTCAACAAGATCTTATTGGGTGAGGAGTCAGACCTACCTCAAATTCCAAAATGGTGTTAGAGTTCATGTTCAGTTGAGCTAAATGTTTGACCAGCGGGTGAGGAGTTAGAGCCAACAAGTACCTTCATTAAAACAGACATGACTCAACATATAGGTTTGACCGTGAGGGGGTAGTACTCCCATTCAACAAGACTTTATTGGGTAAGGAGTCAGACCCATCTCAAATTCTATCATACCATACTGTGACTTACCTTTTGCTTGTGAGGTGTTCAACTTCATAAATTAGTTGAGGTACGCGCAAGCTGGCCAGACACCCTGGTTATCAAACCCTTTGTGTTTGTAGGATGTTTAATAGACCCCGAAAATTAGTTGTGGTATGCGCAAGCCGGTCAAGACACCTCGGTTACCAAAAAAAAAAAAAAAAAAAAAAAAGGCCGTTCACTCTCAATTATTTCAATCGCTTTTACAAATTGAATGATATTTTGGTGAACAAAGAGAAACCCTCTATCTCTCTCTCTTTAATCACCGTGACCCATAACTACAATAGCAATTTGAATTGAACAAGAATACCACGAAAGCTTTTGATGATGAAAAATAAAAAACAGGCTGTAAAAGCAGTAAAGCACCCCACAAAATTCCTCAATCGTTAATCTAACTTAAAGAAAGGCCAAGTAATTTCTTCCAAATTTCTTATTAAACTTTTATATTCTATTGAATTGAATAAAGAAAATTCTTACATCAATAAACCCAATTTCTACACATAATAAAAAACTTAATTCTTAATTCCGTAATAAAAAATTCAATATCTGCGATGAATTCAAGTTATATCTCTTTCAAAATACAAGTCCAATATTATTTGAAATCTCTTTGAAAGATAACGAGTTTTCTTAAAGTTGTGTAAATATCACCATATCAACCAAAAATATAAAATTTAACTACACGATTTTGTTCGCTCTTTGAGATTGATATATTTTGTTTTTTTTGGGATTTTATTTGCTCTTCCAGATTGATTTTCTTTTCCTGGATTTCGTTGTTGGTTGAGAAAGATGGTTGATTTCCTTTAAATTTTTGAAATAATCTGTGAGAGCAATGTGTAAACTTTTTATGCTCAAATTCACAAGAGCCGTTAGATTAGATTTAGATAAAAGGTGATTAATTGTTTCATTTTAAGTCAATAATTTGTGTTACAATAGCCTGACCCAAGGGTGTAAACGAGCCGAGCTTTAGGCTAATCGAGCTCGGCTCGGTTGCTACAGTGTCGAGTTCGAGCTTGAGCTTAATTAAGCTTGAGCTCACAAAAAAAAACTCTCAAGTTCTCCACTTTTTTACTTTCCCAATCGAGCTGAAATCTAGCAAGTTTGAACTTGACTCAATATAATAGTCAAGCCAAGTCGAGTTCGAGCTTCTATTGAGCCCAGCTCTAGCCACTCGCGAGTGGTTTGACTTGGCTAACAACCCTAGCATGACACTTTCGTTTTATATGTGATTCCATATTTTTCTATTTTCTAGTTTTTAAATACTAAAATTATATGTGAATATGTAAGACACATTTTTTTAGGATAAAAAGAGGGAAGGAAAAACCAATAAAAAAAATTGAAAACACCAAATTTTATAAGAATATTTTTGAAGACAGTCAAACACTTAAAACAAACTTAAAAGTGTTTTTTTAACCGATAGAAATCTATTAAAATATGTTTCATTGTCATGGGGACATCGAAAGAGAAGAAATTTTGGTTCTATGAATGACTTTTGATGAAACAATATAACAAAGAGTCAGCATATGAAAATGACAATAAGATTAAATTTTAAATACTGATTTGCTGTCTCCTTTCAACAGGTATCATTACAAAAATTAAGAAATCAAAGTTTTTTATATGAACAAACGGGGCATTATTCTGTATGTTTTGTGCTATGTTCATAACTAATTCTGCACTTGATACCCTAGAATATACTCAATACAAACTGTTGTTGACAAGAATTTGCCTATTCCAACCAAAACTTTTCTGTCTGTGAAAGAAATCACAGCTTCGAGTAGCTTCATGTTTTCTCTTCCATGCTCAATTTTTTTTGCACAATAATGCTGCAACATCTCTAATCTACCTTTTTTGACTGGATTAAGAGTTACTTCTTATGAATTGTCCTAATAATTTTCAGTAGCGGATCCAGAAATTTCAGTTAGGGTGAGCTAAAATAAAAACTAATTGCATATTAATATTTTTGTCCATTAATATTTCTGTTAGGGTAGGCCAAAATAAAAACTAATTACACATTAATATTTTTTTTCATTAATATTTCTGTTAGGGTAGACCAAAATCCGAATATTGTATATATTAGTATTTTTTTTTTTTTTATATTTAGGGTGGGCCATGCTCATTTCCAATAGCAGGGTTCGAATTTGTCTTTTATCTATCTCAAATAGTGAGGCTCAGAGCGCGTCCCTATTGATTTCAATCTAAACTTAGGTAAGAGACCAATCTGAGCCCGATCATACAAAGTGAATAGAGCAAATCCTTAGAACATAACTCTTGGAGCCCCACAAGAGAAAGTGTATATGAGATGTTACAAATGGAAGCGGAATACCTCAGCTATAATTTCGACGTTTAGCTCCTTAGCTTGAGCCAGAGTTCACACAAAGAATTGGACGCAATTTTATTTCTGTAATTAAATATATAGGCCAACAGTTTTAGCTTAAACCAAATGGGGAGGAGTTGACAAAGGAAAATTATGCGGACGGGCAGAAGATGTACAAATTTCATGGCACTAAATGCTGAAGCACTACAAAACAAAACTTGCCCATCAAAGTGACCCAAAAACCAGACGGATTGCCTATTTGCAAGTGAAAGCAACTAGCAATAGTAGCAACTGAGACCTGAAAAATTGTGATTTGCATAATGGGCAAGCGACCTCATGTACTAGCAATTGCATATCCTGCACAAGGCCATATAGGGGCATTGATGAAGCTCTGTCATCTGCTTGCTGATCATGACATCAAAGTCACATTTGTGAACACAGAATCCATAAATGCCAGAGTCCTAGCGGCCATGTCAGAAAAGGGTAAAGAAGATTGCAAGGTTGACATGGTGGTGATCCCCGATGGCATTGATCGTCAGGATGAGCGAAAAGATCGGATACAACTTAGTGAAACTATGGTGAATGTCATGCCTGGTCACTTGGAGGATCTGATTATGAAGATAAATTTATCATGTGATAAAAAGATCAGCTGTGTCATTGCTGATGCAACCAATGCTTGGGCTCTAGATGTTGCCGGGAAGATGGGCATCAAGAGGGCCATGTTTTGGCCTAGCCTTGTTGGAGGATTTGCATTGAGTCTTCATATTCAAGAGCTTATTCAAGCCAAAATTATTGATCATAACGGTAAATTTCAATATAATCTTCTTGTAACATTTTCTAATTGGCTTGTTCTGATATGGAATTTTTGAATTTCTGTAGGAACTCCCTTAACAAATGAAAAGATCCAGATTTCTCCGGAATTGCTTGCCATGATCCCTTCTGAATTCATATGGAGCTGTCCAGGTGATCCAATCAGGCAAAACATCATATTCCGATATGTAGAATATGCCAACAAGGCTGTCAAAAATTCCAACTGGCTATTTGCAACTCATTTTATGAACTAGACTCTTCGATATGCGATTTGATTCCAAACCTCTTACCTATCGGTCCATTACTTTCAATAAATCATCCTGGAAAACCGACCGGAAACTTTTGGCCTGAGGACTCGACTTGTTTACACTGGCTTGATAAACAGCCTGCCCAATCAGTCATATATGTTGCCTTTGGTAGCATAGCAATTTTCAACCAGTGCCAATTCGAAGAATTGGCGCTAGGACTTGAACTTTCGGGTCAGCCATTCTTGTGGGTAGTCAGATCAGACCTTATGGATGGTTCCATTATAAAATACCCAGAAGGGTTTCTGGATAGAGTAGCCAGTCGCGGCAAAATAACAGAATGGGCACCACAGGAGAAGGTTTTAGCCCATTCTTCGATTGCTTGTTTTGTAAGTCATTGTGGTTGGAATTCAACCATGGAGGGACTTAGTATGGGGGTTCCCTTTCTGTGTTGGCGTTATTTTGCTGACCAATTCCTCGTCAAGAGTTACATTTGTGAGGTTTGGAAGGCGGGTTTAGGATTGAATATTGAAACAAATGGAATCATTTCAAGCCATGAAATAAGAAGAAAGTTGGATAAATTGCTATGTGATGGTGGTATAAGAGATAATGTGACTCAACTGAAAGAAATGGCCAGAAAGAGTGGCAGTGAAGGTGGATCATCAATGAACAACTTTGAAATCTTCATTAAGCAGCTAAGATGTTAAATTAAATATGAGCTGATTTTAATTTAGTTTCTGTCAAAGTTAATTACCTGGGTGAAAATTGTTGCATAGATGTGTTGCCATGAAAATTGCTGTAACGTTTCTTTGGCTTTTTATAATATACTATAATGATAAATAAAACAAGATATAGAAATTCTAAATCAAATCCTAATACAGATAAAAACTTTCCCCTTCTTGTATTTTATTAATATGCTCAATGGATTTTATGAATGTTATTATCAATACTAGACGAGAAAAAAACTGGTGAACTAAACGTCTTCAAAGATGTTGTATTTTATATAAAATGGGGAGTCCAGTCCAGGTTTATTTATATTTATTATTACTGCCTTGAAAGTAACGTGGTTGAAAACCATAGAATGATAAGATATTCTTGGATTACATCAAGTAATATATCATAAATAGATGCAAACAGGGCTCAATCTGTCTAGCCTTCGATTTGAAACAATCTAGAGTACTATGAAATCAAAAACAGTAAACACACACAAGTAAAGAGAAAGAATAATACACGTGATTTATTTTTGTTCACCTAATTAACAGGTTATGTCCAACAGAGTCAATATTATTGAAAATACTGTCTCACCTCTCTCGTTACAATGAATGTAATTTGCCTTATGATTTACTATACAACACTCATACGAGAGAAAAATAGGTTTATATACTAGGTTTAAAGTGTAAAACCTAATATTTCAAGGATATGTTTTCCTAAGCCCAAACCTAGGCATGGCAATGGGGCGGGGCAGGGCAGGGATCTCATTCACTATCCCTATACCTGCTCCGTCCTCGTTATGGGGATGGCATGAATTCCCCATCCTCGCCCCATGGGGAATGTTGGAGGCCCATCCCTGCCGCATTAATTTTACCTTTGGTTGAAGTTTGGCTGGATTGGAGAGATAAAATCGGCATCGGCGAACGGCAATATGAAGTTGGCTAAGGGTGAATGGTAGTGGCGACAAGTTTAAGACTTAAGGGTTAGGGTTTGTTCTTGTTCAATTGTTTAGATTGAGAGAAATTGAGAAAATATGGGTTTATATAGGTAGGATAATTGTGTAATTAGGTGAAATATATAGGAGTATTAGAGAAAAGTGTAGAGAGAGAGAGAGAGAGGGAGAGAATGGGTGCGGGCCGGGGACCTTGTTCCCCGTCCCCGATATCCACTCCCATGACTGTCCTCGACTCGGCCTAATGAATGGGGTTTCACGGGGAAATTCCCCCTTGGGGATTTATCCCCAAACGGGGAATTTTTCAATTAATTAATTACAAGGATAATTGAATTTGTGTAATTTGTAAGTCGTTAAGCAATTGTGTATATTCTTATATTGGTTTGGTAAATTGTAATAATCTAATCAAATTTATTTTTGGGGCATGTATTATTATTTTGTGAAATTCATAAAGTAATAATACATATATTTAATTATTAGACTCCCCCGTTTAAATTATTTTTTCTATAAATTTAATCCAAACATTAAAAATATTATAAAAGTAAATATCATAAATTTAGATACATTACTTAAAAGTTAAAACCATGGTTTAAACTTTAATTTCATATACAATCTCGCTAAGGAAAAAAAAAATTCTCAACAAAAGAAGGCAAGGCGGGGCGGGACGGGGCTCCACGGGGGCGGGGTTGATAGGCCGAAGCAGGGATTGCACAATCCCCTCCCCCCACCTGTCCCCGAGGGTGGGGTTTTTTTGAGGACCATCCCTGGCCCTATCCCCGATATTTCCGGGGATAATTTGCCCCATTCAGGCCGGGGCAAACACCCTATATATATGGGCAAGGGAAGGGCAACCTCCTCCCTTGGGGACGGGGATTAAAACTCCTCCCATCCCCGCCCCTATCACCAAAAAAACAGGGGAATCCCCGCCCCATACAGGGCGGGTCCATGGGCCCATTGTCATACCTACTCAAACCCAATTATAAATTAATTACTTAGAGAAATCTTTCAACGGGACCCCCGAATACGTTTGTGTAACCCTTTATTGTTGAAGTAGTCCACAATTCCAACACGATTCCTCCGAAAGCATATTACAACTTGGCTTTGTAATCTAGTGGAGATGTATTATTGTATCATAAATAATAATCTAGAAGATATTATAAATATCTCCTGCATCATAATAAAATACAAAGAAAAACACAAGGTGAAAACAATGCATAATGTGAGTTTATAGTTTTGATGTATTAGAACATAAAATGCCAATAACTTCGTCACATAACACATAAACATAACTGTAGAAGAAAAGAGCCATGAGCTAAGCAAATATAAAATAGTTTATGTCAAACAGAATTGATATAAAACTCTATTTGGGGTAGGAACATAGCATAGTTATTTTTTGTGGGATTGAATTGAAACTATCTGAAATGAGCAAGCAACCGCATGTATTAGTTATTCCATATCCAGCACAAGGCCATGTTGCACCTCTTCTGAAATTGGCCACAAAGATTGCTGAACATGGAATCAAGGTCACCTTCGTTAACACAGAGTTTATTGAGGCGAAAGTCATGGCTTCGATACCAGAGAAAGCTGAGGGATGGAGCCTGATAAAGTTTGTTTCAATTTCAGATGGAATTGAACGAGATGACGATCGGAAAGACTTTGATAAGACTAGAAATACCATGTTAAGAGTAATGCCAGGTAACTTGAAGGACTTGATTGAGAAAATTAACCAATCAAGTGACTGTGAGCAGATCACATGTGTCATTGCTGATATATCAGTTCGATGGGCACTGGAAGTTGCCCAAAACTTGGGAGTTTCAAGAGCTGCATTTATACCTTATGGACCAGAAAATTTAGCCTTGTCATTTCATGTTACAAAGATGATTGAGGATGGAATTTTGGATTCTAATGGTAAGTATATGACTACTTGAATTTTGATGTATATGTGGTTTTGTACTCACAGTTAATTGAAATTCATGTAGGGAACCCGATGAATGATTGGTTGATCTCAATATCAGAGGGAACTCTTCCCTGGAAAAGAAACGAANGGGCTACGGACGTTTCTAGAATGGCCACCATATGTGCTCATAGGGTTCTCACTATCAAGATTTGAAACACTTGATACCCTCGTCACGGTTCTACCATTCTAAGGACATATATCAATACATATTGCAATAATAATGATTTACGCGATATAGAATAAAATGCCTTTTATTATTGATTAATGAACATTATTATAAAGAGTCAATTCTACAATGATTGATTGGCTCTAGGGCATCTACTCTAGCAGAAACTTCATGTTGCGGCGGAACTATTCATGTGCAGCAGCACAGTTCATAAATTTTATGCTCAGGAGTTTTCCTACCAAAACATACTACACGAAAATGGGTACACCTTGAATTACACAACTCTGATTGACCTACTTCTAGTGGCATTTGAAAGCTAAGAGACAGGAATAAAACTTTGATGTTTTGGGTCGCGATCCAATTTGTAAGTATTTTTGTGAACTTATGAATTTTATGTGGCCATATTAAGTTCTGATGTCTGAACATTTTATTATTTAATCACGATCGTTTTTGTAGCTTTCTGTTGTCATGACACTATGTGTTGATGTGCGCACACTTAGTTAGTCTATTTTTATTATAAATCCTATGGGCACACCAAAGTCTAGTATGATGACAGTCGCCTAGTCAAATTTCTATTACACTTGTCGTGTCTTCATTTGATGTTAGGATATGCTCTAGACCTTAGATATGTGTGAGTGGTCCATATACAAATGTCAAGAGCTCAGATGGTGTACTAGAAATTCGTTTAGCTTTTCAGAAGTGGTCCTAAGAAAGTAGGTGAAAACTTTCCCAAAATAGCTAAACACGTAAGAGCTTATCAGCTAGTTGTCTGGTGCATCGTTGAGAAAGTTTTCTTTATATTCGTCTTCAACCTTGCATTATCTTTTGAGCCTAAATATACCTCTGATTGTTCTTTGAAAATCTTCTGAGGTTTATTTCACTTTTAATTAGGTTCCATTATGCTTTGGTAAGCTTAATAATACCTTTTAACCTTTGTTGGAACGTGTTTCCTTTGATGATGCTTGATGGGATTTCGAGTTGTTGGAACTGAAATGCATCTTCAATGTTGAAGCCTGAGTGGAGCTCAAGACTGTCTAGGTGGTTTCCTAGTGTGAAGCTTGTTGTGGTAGAACGAAGTTCAACCAAAAGGTGAATTTGAAGTGTTGTGACAACAGGGAGTTTTCTACAACTAATGCTTAACTTTGGCATTGTAATTGAACTATAAATGTTTATCATAGTGGATTTGCTTCATCTGGACTTGGTCCCATGGATGTAGCCATTTGGCTAAACCATGTAAAAATGATTGTGTGATTTACTTATGTCATAGATGTTTAGTTTATGTTGATGATGAATGAACAAACCCACATGCACAAATGAACATGTTTAACCCATTCTGCATAAGTTTAATGAACTTGATAAAGTCATAAAACTCTCATTTGGTATCAGAGCTTATTTTTGAAGAGTCATTTAAGATACTTGCATGTTGTTTGTGCTTGAGTCTTGATTTTAGGTCTGTCGGCTTTTTTTTTTTTTTTTTTTTTTTNAACATTTGTGCCTTGATTTTGGGCTTTAAGGAACGATCTACGGTTGTATAAAATTTTGTTTTCCGCTGAGCAACTGGGTCGTTTCCTAACACATGTTACCTATGAAGATGGAAAGAAATGTAAAATTCTTGGTAAAGGTTCAACTGATATACCTGGTTTTTCCTTGTTGAATGATGTTATGTATGTTGAGGGATTGAAAGCTAATTTAATTTGCATTAGCCAAATCTGTGATAAGGACTTTATTGTGCAATTTTCAAAAAAAAAAAAAAAAAAGTGTCAAGTCTTGAATGGTGAATGAACTTTCTTACATGAAGGAAAGCGGTGTAATGATAATTGCTATCAGTTGTCTAACAAAGCTTCTTGTTTTAGCACAAAGATAGATTGTGTTGAGTTGTGGCACAAGAAGCTTGGGCAACTGAACTTCAAAGACCTTGTGAAACTTTCCAGGAAGGAGGTTGTGAAAGGTCTGCCCAAACTTGATTTCCTTAAAGGTAAAGTATGTGGCCCTTGCCAACACGGTTAGTAGACCAAAAGTGCTCACAAACCTATCTCACTTAACTACCTATAGTGTTTTAGAATTTCTTCATATGGATCTAATGGGTCCTATGCAAACTGAGAGTATTAGAGGTAAGGGATATGTCCATGTGTGTGTTGATGATTATTCTAGATACACTTGGGTTGATTTCTTGAGAGAAAAGTCTGATGCATTTGATGCTTTTTAAAGTCCTGTTAAAAGGTTGCAGGTTGAACAAAACTGTCTTGTGAAGAAAGTTTTGAGAATTAGAAGTAACCATGGGAAGGAGTTTGAGAATTCACACTTTGATAATTTTTGTGATATGTAGGGCATTTGGCATGAGTTTTCTGCCCCAAACACACCTCAACAAAATGGTGTATGTAACACCTGCTCTCTACTACTATTCTTATAATACATACTATGTAAATTATAGATATACATAGCGTATGGAAGATAGTGGACTCAAACTTTTCTTTACTCATAAAATATAATTTTTTACATATACAAAATACTATGTATTAAAAACTTTCTACTTAATACAAAATATCATTACTGGTGGACAGTAGTGCCAATACTCTCCGCTCCTCGACGTCCATCCGACCGCTGCTCCTATTTCCTGCAAAACAGGGAAGAACAATGGGGTGAGCACAACAATGCTCAGTAAGTAAATCCTNTGAGCAGTTTGTCTCGCTATAGTGATTGTGACCACATCTGTGTTGTGTCTCACCACATCTGATTTGCGTGTTTGTGTATCACTATAGCATTTGTGATGACATCTATGTTGAGTATCTCTACATCTGTTCTGTGTGTTTGTGACTGTGTGTGATAACATCTATTTTGGTTGTGTCAACATCTGATGTCTGTTTACCATGAGCTTCTTTAGTGAATGAGGGTCTACAAATGGACCACCCATGTTAAAGGGACCAAACTATGCTTTTTGGAAACTTATGATGCGTGCCTTTTTAAAGTCTATAGATGAAAAAGTGTGGATGTCATGTGTTGATAGTAAGTTGAAGAAGAAGAAGAGGTGACCAAATCGAAACCAATAGAAGAGTGGACCAAGGCTGAGTTAGATCTTGTTAACTTTGACTCAAAAGCCATTCATGTCATTTTTAATGTTGTTAGTATAAATCAAATGAAAATCATTGCTAATTGTGAAATTGCAAAAAATGTTTGCGATAAACTCCAAGTCAAAAATGAAGGAACAGACATTGTTAAAAAGACTGGGCTAAGGAGATTGGTTACTGGATATGGAAATCTTACTATGCATGAAGATGAAACAATCACTAATTTTCATGGAAGGATATGTGATGTGTCTAATGGGTGTTATGCTTTGGGTAAAGTATATACTAATGCTGAACTTGTCAAGAAAGTCTTGTGCTCATTGCCCAAAAGATTCATGTCAAAGGTAACCTCCATTGAAGAATGCCAAGACCTTGATGCTATGCAATTGGATGAGTTGATTGGATTCTTTCAAACTTTCGAACTCAATCTAAAAATGTGGGACAAGAAATCAGGTAAAGGTCTTGCTTTAAAGCATGAGATAATTCGTAATCCCCTTGAAAATGTTGATGTGAGTGATTTAAATGATGATAAGTGTGCCTTAAAATGTTGATGTGAGTGATTTAAATGATGATAAGTGTGCCTTACTCACAAAAAAATTTGCCAAGTTTTTTAAAAGGAACATGAAAAAGCCAAATGTGACTAGCAAGGGCAAACAACCTTTTGTGAAAAACTTTTCTAATCAATCTGGTCAAGGTGCTTTTTCAAAAAGATTTTCTAAGGAAAATGAAAAAAAGAACAAAGGCATTAAATGTTTTGAATGTGAGGGATATGAGCACATCTAGTCTGAGTGTGCCAACACTTTGAAGAAAAAGGGTAAAGTAATGGCTACTACCCTAAGCGAGAGTGATGAGGAAGAGAATGAGATGGAGGAAGATAAGCCTAATGAGAGTGAATTTTTTTTAGCCTTTATGGTTAATCAAGAGGACAATGAGAGTGTGACCTCTGATGACTCTCATGATGTCTATAAAGTGCAATAGGAAGCGTATGATAAGATGTATGAATCATGGTTAAAGACAATCAANCTTGGGTTGGATTTACTTACCTCATACTTGAGTAGTCTTCACTAAAGCTCTCTACTCTTGTTGGACCTTAGCTTTCCCTTATTTCCTAAGCATAAACTTAGTAAGAACTTAACCCTTACATAAATAAAACTCATATCTAAAGTAGGGATTCTTACCTCTTCTTGCTTAGGATCAATTCTTTGTCAAATTCCAACTCAAAACTCTCAAAAATCCCTTGGAAGATTGAGTGAGGAATTGAGAGAAAATGAAGGATGAAGAGGCGATGGAGGAAGGGAAAAATGAAGGGGTTTAGAGAACTAAACTCTTATTAGCTCATATAATATACACTCTTTCCCATTTTGCCCTTACTCTTTCTTGAAATTCCACCTTTATCCTTTAATTCTTTACAAATTCACCCCCATTCTATACTATTCTCCATGAAACTTCCTTGCATTTTACTCCCCACTTTTCCTGCTAATTAGGGGTAAAATGGTCATTTTGCCCTTAGGAAAGAATTCTCTAGAAACTGAAACAAAAACTCAGTCGACCCTTCGCCGCAGCGAAGAATTATCTGTCGCCCCGGCAAAGAACTCCAGAGCTGACGTCGCAAATCACAGAGCTGACGTCATCGCGGTGAAGCTTCTTCCTCGCCCTGGCGAAGGCTGCAACTCCAAAATCCGAGAAGTCTTGATCAATTCCAAGGTAAACACTCAGCCAAACCCAAAACATAAACTCAACCAAGGGCCAACCAAACAACATGAATAATATACAAACTCATTTAGGAGCAATTCAGTAACCCTTTAGGCCATACCATAAACAATGGCTGCGTATCTCAAGTGGGGCGTTACAGTGTAGTGGAGAAAAAGAATCAGATCCTTCAAGAGATGACAAGAGTGATGTTAAATTCAAAGAAATTGCCAAAGAGATTATGGGTCAAGGCTATCAACACAGCATGCCACATCTTAAATAGGGTGTTCATAAGAAAAGGTACAACACAAACTCCTTATGAGCTGTGGAAGGGTATGAAACCAGGTCTCTCATACTTTCATGTTTTTGGTTGCAAGTGTTATGTCTTGAATGATAGAGAAAATCTAGGGAATTTGACACTAAGAGTGATGAAGGTGTATTCCTTGGATATTCTTCTAACAGTAGAGCTTATATATCTTTAACATGAGAATTGAACGTATTGTTGAATCATTTAATGTTGTATTCTCTAATTCTAAAGATTACTGAAAGTTTTCTAAGGAAGAAGAAATTATTAACATAATTGTTCCTCACGACATGACCACAAGTCAAGATGATATGACTACATCAAACTATCTTGAAGCTCAAACGAGTGTGCTGACATCTACATTGGTTTCTTTTAGTTTGTGATCTTGATACAAAAAAATTCATAATTTAAGATAAAGAAGTGACTTTTAGCCTCTATCAAATTGATTAGTATTCCCCACTTTTAAATGTATTTTTGTTTTAAGAAATTTAACCTTAATGAATAGTAATTTCTAAATACACTTATTCTCTATTATATATGTATATATATATAGTAGAACATATCTACATCCAAATGAGCAACAAGTCATTTATGTTTTAACTGAAGAAGAATCATTGCTGCAATTAAACAAGAGAATGAAGGAGATAATCCTAAGGATGATAGTACGGAATACATAAAATTTCATGTCAAGAAACTCTAAACATGTTTGAGAACCTAAAAATATTTTAGTTTTAACAAGAAGGTGTCCATGTTTGCAAGTTATTATATGCCCGCTGGTTCAAAGATGTGGTAACAACTCTAAAGTATAAATCATTGTCCCAAACAACTTTAGATATATGTTATTTCATCTTAAACCTTTAACGTAATAGCATATATTTTTTGTAGTATATAGATAATTTATACTATATAGAGGCAAGTTCTTAAGACGAAAACCTAGAAAAATTATACTTATTATAATACGAGGTTTATTCTTATTTATAAATTGCCCAAGTTGGGACCATAATTTTTATGACTATATGGAGATTATTCCTCTTCTCTCTCTGCTCTCTCTCTCTCTCTCTCTCTTATATATATATTATATATTATATATATATATATATATATTATATATATATATATATAATAATATATATAATTATAATATATTATTTGTTTTTTAGATAAATTCTATATCTTAATTTTCAAAATTATTGAAACAATTTTTTTATTTCAAAAATTCTTGTTTGATGAAATAATCACATAACATGATGAATCTGAATCTGAATCTAAAGAAAAAAAAAAGTAATTTTCAAATTTGAAATTGGGAAAAAGGGTATAAAAAAACCTAATTATTAAATTAGGAAAAGTGGTGTAAACAATACCCTATTAAATTGAAATTGGGTAAAAGGTAAAAAAAAAACCTTAATTAAACCTAATTAGAGGATATTTTCAGTGTTAAATGGGGGTTTAAAGAAAAATTTATAAAATATAATAGATGTGTATTATTACAAGGGAGAAGTGATCAATTTGAAGGGGCTAAAATCTTCTTTAATATAATCTTAACAATGTTAATACCGAGAGTCGAAGAATTATAGAAAGTAAAGAATAATTTTTTTTTTTTTTTCAAATTACACTAGCTTACAATTTTTAATTTAACCATGTATAAAAAAAAAAAAAATAATTTAAAATGTTTACTTTGAATGTGTCATCTTGTAGTGGTTCTTCTTTCCGTGATATCATCTCTTTTGTTTTTTTTTTTTTCTAGATTGAGTACACATCATCATTATCTTTTTGTTGAGAGAATGATGGATGCTTGAACCAAATAGCCAGCTTTGTAATTTTATTATTATATAAAAAGAACCATAAATTCATACACGAGAAATATCTATCACACTCATAACCTTAACAGAAGCAGGGAACAACCCATATCACGATTAGATCATGATGTCTCCCAAAATATATATACAAGTTAGGCCAGACATGACTCATAACCAACCTCCATTGGCTAAGATTTGCAAAAGTAAAAATTATAAAAGAAACAAGGATCAAACAAGAAGTCAAAGATGATGCCAAGATTTTGTTTGGGTACGAACCAGAAAAATATAGAATTATATATAAACATAATATATTTTATATATAAATATAACACTGTTAAGTCATGATATGTCTTTTCTCTTTGATCTTCTAAATCAAAGTGTTCTCTCCCTTCTGGGTTCTTTTATTTGATTACACTGACTCTTGAGGAAAATAGAGAGAGAAATTAAGGTAAGTATAACAATAACAACAATGATGATAGACTTGGATTTGGATTTGGCTAACATAACTAGACAGGGATGTTTTTTTTATCATCAGGATGTTGCAATGCAATAAGGTTCCCAAAACAAAAGAGATCTTCTTGGCTCCTTGCAGCCCTTTGTGAAAGGAACCAGATAATCTCCCTTTTTTCCACTCAAGAGAAGTACCTTTCGCTGCTCATTTTCCGGTGAGCTTTTACTCTTGGAGAGAATAAACTTGCTGTTTTCCTGTAATTGTTGATTCATCATTTGTTTGGAAACTACCCCAGGCCCAGCTTCCATGGGCTTGGGCCTCCAGTAGTACTCATAAGCATTGAATGTAGCCCCAGCGGTCGCCCTCACTGTTGCAGCCGCTGCTGCCGGTGGTTTTGGAATCAGGCGAGCCATACTTGCCGGCGTTGGCAGTGACTGTGCTAGTATTGATGGCTTCATATCCTCTACCTCATCAAATTTGACCACTTCATTGAACTTGTTCGGCCACTGTGGGTTTGTTTTGGCTAAACTCATTTGCTTATTCATGACTAGTGTCAACCTGTGCACATTAAGCACCTTATTGGACAATTTTGGCGCTTCCTGATCCATCACAAATTCAATCTCCATTTCTCCTCCTCTGCTTTCATTCTCACTTTCCTCCACCTCTTCTTCCTCTGTCTCCTCGTCCTCCTCTTCTTCTTCTTCTTCTTCTTCAAACTTATCTTCCATTTCATTAGTGTTGACAAAAGTGAGCACAAGACGGCCATCATGTCGTTGAGCGCGGAAGTTGTTAGTGGAAGGAACAGAAACAGCTTCAAGAACCAGTCTACCATTGTCGCGACGAGACTGCATGCGAATGGATGCTCCATCGTGGCGAGAAAGAGAAGAAATTGGGGGAGGAAATGATCGTTCGGTTGATTTTTTGCCAACAACGTAATTGAACTTGGGAACTAGCACTTCTTTAACATCAAAATTCTGTGTCATTCTTTCTTCTTCTTCTTCTTCTTCTTGTGGTTGTTGCAGAGGTTGTTCTTGGTCCATCTCTTTGTCGTCGTCGGTGTCACCAGTCTCTGATGATGGGTAAGAAGAGAACCCATCAGAGCCGGTTTCGGATCCAAGACTCTCGGTGCAAATTTCAAGGCTCTTTTCGCTTAAAGAACTGGCTGATCTTTTGACAAGAGGGTGAACATAAGGAGGTGGAAGTGATTTGTTGGAGGCATCTTGAGCTTTTTGTGATATGATTGAACTCCATATGTCGAATTGGCCAGGCTTTTCATCAACCTCTTTTTTCTCATACACCTCTTCTTGAATTGAGCTCCAAAAATCCAATTGGCTTTGTTGCTCAGTCTCAGTGTCCTCTTCTTCTCCTTCTGATGATGAAGAGTCAATGATAGAAGAGATTGAGAACTCTTTAGACGATGCAATCTTTTTCATGGGAGAGAACCCATGTTGTGTAAGCCATTTGGTGGATGACATATCAGCTGAAAGCGTCCTTCTCAGTGAACAAGATTTACTTCTTTCAGAATCAGACCCAAGAATGGATCCGATACCTTGAGTCTTTGTAACCATGGCCTCTTCGTCGATCTTCAAGGTTGAAGATAGGCGTAGGCTTTTGCTAAGAAGGGCTGACATCTCCCAAAACTAGAGATGAACACAATTATTATCAGCTGCAAAAGTAAAGAAGAGAAATATATTAAGAATGAGAAGAATATAGAACAAATAACAAGTTACAAAGAAAAGAGAAAGAGACAAAGGGGTCCATGTGATGAATGATTGATAAATAAAAATATATACCTGAAGAAATGCAACAGCATCCACCAGAGGTCTGCAAATCAGAGACCACTACTGGGTGCAAGTTGCAAGTGAAGAGAGTTAGAGAGGATTTAGATGAAGAAGCTGGATTTTGAAGAAAGAGTGGTAACGTTTTGATGGCAATGTTAGATGAGAATGTAAGGAGTATTTGTAGGAGAGAAAAAAGGCCATGGAACCGTGTGCATTGGGTCCCGCCATACGCCACCATAAAAAATACTCTTTCTTTATGGTTTACAGTTTTTCTCTTTATCATATTATTTTACAATTAATTTTACTCCCGCACTCTGTTTCTTCTCAACACTCTGTTTTAACAACCTCAATCTCTATACATCAATTTTATATTATTAAGCTTTCCAAAATAGTCTTAAACCCTACCAAGGAACTGCATGAAATACATTCTCTAGAAAACGGGAACCCTCTTGAAAGTAAGGACATAAATCTCATTGCAAATGAGATTTACTATTTTCNAGCTTCAAGAACCAGTCTACCATTGTCGCGACGAGACTGCATGCGAATGGATGCTCCATCGTGGCGAGAAAGAGAAGAAATTGGGGGAGGAAATGATCGTTCGGTTGATTTTTTGCCAACAACGTAATTGAACTTGGGAACTAGCACTTCTTTAACATCAAAATTCTGTGTCATTCTTTCTTCTTCTTCTTCTTCTTCTTGTGGTTGTTGCAGAGGTTGTTCTTGGTCCATCTCTTTGTCGTCGTCGGTGTCACCAGTCTCTGATGATGGGTAAGAAGAGAACCCATCAGAGCCGGTTTCGGATCCAAGACTCTCGGTGCAAATTTCAAGGCTCTTTTCGCTTAAAGAACTGGCTGATCTTTTGACAAGAGGGTGAACATAAGGAGGTGGAAGTGATTTGTTGGAGGCATCTTGAGCTTTTTGTGATATGATTGAACTCCATATGTCGAATTGGCCAGGCTTTTCATCAACCTCTTTTTTCTCATACACCTCTTCTTGAATTGAGCTCCAAAAATCCAATTGGCTTTGTTGCTCAGTCTCAGTGTCCTCTTCTTCTCCTTCTGATGATGAAGAGTCAATGATAGAAGAGATTGAGAACTCTTTAGACGATGCAATCTTTTTCATGGGAGAGAACCCATGTTGTGTAAGCCATTTGGTGGATGACATATCAGCTGAAAGCGTCCTTCTCAGTGAACAAGATTTACTTCTTTCAGAATCAGACCCAAGAATGGATCCGATACCTTGAGTCTTTGTAACCATGGCCTCTTCGTCGATCTTCAAGGTTGAAGATAGGCGTAGGCTTTTGCTAAGAAGGGCTGACATCTCCCAAAACTAGAGATGAACACAATTATTATCAGCTGCAAAAGTAAAGAAGAGAAATATATTAAGAATGAGAAGAATATAGAACAAATAACAAGTTACAAAGAAAAGAGAAAGAGACAAAGGGGTCCATGTGATGAATGATTGATAAATAAAAATATATACCTGAAGAAATGCAACAGCATCCACCAGAGGTCTGCAAATCAGAGACCACTACTGGGTGCAAGTTGCAAGTGAAGAGAGTTAGAGAGGATTTAGATGAAGAAGCTGGATTTTGAAGAAAGAGTGGTAACGTTTTGATGGCAATGTTAGATGAGAATGTAAGGAGTATTTGTAGGAGAGAAAAAAGGCCATGGAACCGTGTGCATTGGGTCCCGCCATACGCCACCATAAAAAATACTCTTTCTTTATGGTTTACAGTTTTTCTCTTTATCATATTATTTTACAATTAATTTTACTCCCGCACTCTGTTTCTTCTCAACACTCTGTTTTAACAACCTCAATCTCTATACATCAATTTTATATTATTAAGCTTTCCAAAATAGTCTTAAACCCTACCAAGGAACTGCATGAAATACATTCTCTAGAAAACGGGAACCCTCTTGAAAGTAAGGACATAAATCTCATTGCAAATGAGATTTACTATTTTCTTTTTAAAAAAAAAAAAAAAAAAAAAATCTAATTAAAAGCTATGAAAAATTTGTCTCACATACTAAAATTTTTGAAAAGAAATTTAATTTTCAATGCTACATAAAATATAAATATATATGTTTATATATCATCTTAGAATTTAGCATTAATCTAAATCAAACCCAAAAACAAGCGGGGAGACGGGAGAAGATTGATCTCCTTACCTCGACAACAAGATATTCAACTAGCTGCAGTAACTCCTGCTCAAAAGAAATCTTATATTTGAATAATTGCTTGTATTATAATGACACCAAATAATCATATATTTGAACAACAGACAAATAACAGCTTTGAAATATAGAATCTGCAGCTAAATATAGAAACTAAAACATATGTTAAGAAATTTTTGAAAGATTTTATTTAGATAATAATTATTTCAAAAATTTACCGGACTGGTGGTATGGATTTGTAGGAAGAAAATCTAGTAGATTGGTGGTATTGATTCTTTTGTCTAAGCAATAACGTGGCAGGTTTTGGAAAACAAATGGTGACAACTGGAGAGAAAATTATAAGAAGAAAAGCTGGATACCATTAAAGGCAAGGCAACGGCTCTGAATCATCCGGTCACAGCTCAGTCCATTGGTTTCACATATTTCATTCAACATAATATCATAAATACTCGCATGCATTTAAGACCATACCAAATTCCATAGTTTAATAACCCCTTTTGTTCAAGGCTAATTTGTTAGCATTTCCCTATAAATATCATCCGTATTTCATGTGCATTACTCTTTCAAAGCTCTGTATGTGCATTTCTATCAATTGCATCGAGTTTTGGATGGAGGCCAAAGAGATTCGTGTGACTAATTAACTAGTTGGTAATACAATAGATTTTATGCATTAAAGAAAAACTCGACGCTTTCTTCAAATTAAGCCTTGAATCAATGTGCGAAATTATATATTTAAAGTGGGTGCAAAACAAGATAATGGCAATTTCAAGTGGGGTTTTAAATTAATTATATATATATATATATATAAACACTTAATAACTTGTAGGAAAAAGAGGTTTTAGATCAATTATCAACAATGATCAATTTGAGGAGAGAATGTAGAATTAAAGAAAGAAGAACCTTATGCTCTTAAAAAATGGATAGGAGATTATAAACATAGATACCACTTCCCAATTAATACTTTTGGTACACTCTTATTGTTTAATTCATAATTTTAAATATATTATATAATGATTAAAGGTAGGGACAACTATGCAGGGTCTTCAAATTTATGATTAATGAAGAATAACGAGAGGATTAATAAAAAGTAAGCTTAAAGAAGTTAATATGATTATATTTCACCATAGTTTAACGCAAAGGGGAAAAGGGAACATAGCTAGTGGAAAGAAGTAGAATGGGCAATTAGGTAAGGCAAAAAAAAAAAAAAAAAGTGATGGTGATTGAGGGGGGTGAAAATGTGGCTTAAGGAGGAAGCAAAGGAATCACTTTGAAGAGACCAACATGATTGGGCGGCCAAAAACTCCATGATCACACAAAACCTGAGAGAGAATCCATCCATCTATCCATCATATATATTACATAATATTAAAATTAAAACAAAGAATAATGTATGTGGAAACAACGGAAGGCATCACGTCTAGATTTTGGGACCCTCTTGACCCTTTGCACGTATGTAGCCAATACGTATATGGAGAAAAAGGCCAATATGTCCATCATTCATGTATATTTTTGAACTAAAAGGCAGTGATGTTGATGAGTTCAAAGCATTTTCGGTAGATTTATAATTAATTAAATAAAAATAATGTGAGTCATGGTGAACATTAGAAAGAATTTTTGGTAGTGAGAGATAGAAAAGAACCATAAAACCAAGTTGAATGCTAGCTTTGCCACAAACCGAGGAAAGGCCAAAGAGAAACCCTGATGCGCCTTGTCTGCCTATAAAGCAATGCCACTCATAAACCTACAAAAGCTTATCTATTCTCTCCACATCCTAAGCTGTTTTCAAAAGTTGTGCTTTAAGTTGGTTCACTACTCTTTCATTTTTATTTTTTTTTATTTTTTTTTTTTCAATTTACCATTTTGGGACTGGACTGTTGACTGAAATGTTCGATTCACGATTAATTAAAATCTTAACAACATAACTGCAATTACTATAAGTTATGTTAATTAAATTAGTTTTCCACAGGCACGAATGTTTTGGCTATTGGTATCGCTTTACAAAGATGTAGAGAGTTACGTATGTGCAATATCATCAATGGGTTGCACGGCTTTGACCGATTTTAGTTTAAAGGATATGAGAATTAATCCACCATATTTGTAACTGCAGTTGATCATTAATTAGGTTTAACGTATATATGAGTAAACGACTTTTTCCCACCCAAGGTTTGCCTTAATGACACTTTACCACCAAAAGGTTTCAAAATACCAATTTACTACCCAAACTTTATATTCTGTTTACTACCCAGAATACACTTTCCGATTTGGTGATGAATAGAAAGCAAACTTGATTTAAGCTGTTAGGGCTTTTGAAGAGGGGATGTCGTTGAGTCTTTTAGTGGTGGCAAATTAGATTTTGGTGGTCGAGATTGGTCAAAATCTGACTTGGGAGGAACGGTTATGCGTTCCACAAATCCCTCGATCGTTGACGATTGGTAGGGTCGACGAGAGTAAGGTTTGAGGGGTTTTGGTGAGTGATAATCGGAGAAGAGAATGGTGGTGGTATGGAGCCGCAACGATGTCAGAGTCATCGGTGATTGTTGGCGATTAGCGAAGTTGGCAGAAGCACACTCTTCAAAAGCCAAAAAGTCTTGACTGAGTTTGCACTCTATTCGCTGTCGAATCACAAACCCTAAGGGAAGTGTATTTTGGGTAGTTACGGAATGTAAACTTTTGGGTAATAAATTTGTATTTTGAAACTTTTTGGGTGAAAAAGTGTCATTAAGGCAAACCTTGGGTCAAAAAAAGTTGTTTACTATATATATATACAAAACCATGAGAATTAACTTTCTATAGCATGCACAACTTAGATTAGATGGTACACACACTCTCGTTAAAGCTTCTACATAATAAAATTTCACTTATCAGGCTGACATTTTAAATATATTTGCATTATTATGCTAAAGCAAAGTCTCAAATTCATAGACAAGGAGTAGTTTTTGAGACGGGCATTTACATATACATCACTCTCCTTCAGTCCTCTCTTTTCTAGTAGTTTTTCGAGTACCTTTCATTTCTCTTTCATATAATTTATGATATTTTGAGGGTAGACATGGTTATTATATCATACATGCAGAGGTTCAACAGTTATTACTGCCGGGCGCATGTATTTGGCTACATAAAACAATTAATAGTGACAGAGAGTTATTCTGCTTTAATTAGCCGTTGAAATGTCAAAGAAATAGAGCTTATAATTAGGGATGTATACGAGTAGAGTCAAGCCGAGCCGAGTATCTCAATACTCAAGCTTGGCTCGTGATAAACAGTAACAAACTCGAGCCGAGCTCAATCGAGCTTTAATATTCCTGTTTGAGTTCGAGCTCGCGAGTCTAAAGTGGTACTCGAGGTCGAGCTCGAGCCTAACCAAGCTCAATAATTTATTGTATTTTCTCTTTCTTTCCACATTTTCTCTTTCTTCTTTTCACCTATCAATATCATCTCATTTTTTTTTTCTCTTTCTTTATTTCACCTATCACCTCATTTTGTCACCTCAACTTTTTTTTTCTCTCTTTCTCCCCGTCTCTTCTCTTCTCTTTTCTTACTTCTTCAGATCTTCTCCTTGGTCTGTATTTTTTTTTTTCTTTCTTCCCATTCTCTCCTCTTTCTTCTTTACTTCTTCTATATTCTCTTCTCTATTCTCACCTCCTCTTCTTCTGCTCCTTTAGATTTTCTCCTTCATTAATTTTCTTTCACATTCTAAGCTCGAATGGAACCGAGGATTAATGAAGGTGAAAGAGATGAGTTTTTGTTTGAGCTTTGAATGGGTTTTGAGTTTTTGTTTGTGATTGGGTCATGGGTGTTGTTTGTAATTTTGACAACTTAAAAATAAAACTTTTGAAATCTTACAAATTACCCCCTAAGCTCGTTTAAGCTCGCGAGCCTGACGAGCCAAGCTCGGCCTAGATCAAACTCGGCTCGTCACTGTTCACAAGCTACTCGAGCTTGGGACGAGCCGAGCTCAAGTAGCTTGCGAGCTACCTGGCTCATGGCTCATCCCTACTCACAATTGGTAACCTTCATGAATCATTGGCGCTCATTTTCCTTGCAATATATAAATAATCTCAAAATGGGAATTTGATGTATATCGGAACGTTTTGAGAGTGAAAGAAGATTCCATAGGTATCTTTCATTCATATAAAAAAACAAAGATACTCGAGCAGGACAAAGGGAGTGACTAAGAGGATGATGAAATATTCATTCCAAACTGCTTTCTGAAAGCAAATTATTAATAACTATATAAATAAATAGACAGTGGACGAAACAATGACACTTCATTGGAGAATTTGATCGTACATAGAACATATATATAATTATATATTACAAAGAAAATTCCCAAGATAGCTAATCCAACTTCTATTTTAGTTTAGAAAATGTTTCTAGGCCTTTCATTTTATTTTATTTTTTTCTCTTATTTTAAGTTTGACA